TACTCGGAGCGTCAACGATTTTAACTCGGTTATATTGATAACAATGAAAATTCAATCACAATTTATTTAATAAGGATCCAAACACATAACACAAACGCAAGTAACTGTTGCAAAATGACGGAAACGAAGAAGACTTTGAAACTGAACGCATCCCACAATAAAAAGGCCCACACGAGAAAGCAACACACATATCAAATATCCTTACAGTAACAACAACCTTATACCGACTCCACCCAGAAGACTTCCCACCACAACAGTTGCAAGACTCGGTGCAGTGACAACACACTACACTTACACCCCCTACAGCCTACACGAAGCGCCGACTGTTGCTAGATGCCAGTTTCCGAATATCGCGTTTGGGTGTAGTAATCCAGCTAACGCCGAGGAACTGATGGAACGTACCAAAATAGACGCACAGCAAATACGATCAACGACTTGACCTCTCCACCAAAAAATGTACATGTACGCAGCCTACTTTTTGAATCTTGTTTAATTCGCCCACGTATTTATGTATGTTCTTACTGTCAGCATCATGGGGCATTACTATTAATACGATCTCGTATCATCACCATCCCAGTTTCCTGTGGCAATTATGGTCGAAATCGACGAGGTGCCCGGGCGGTTAAGTATAATGAATATTAGAGCAGTGCGTTGCATGTTCGAGACCCGCAAAAAGCTGTGAAAAGCTCTGCCAGCCATGACAAGAATCGGCATATGGCCTCGTGGCCTAATATGCAACGCTGGCAAAAATGTCATCGTAAAAAACACACAAAAATAAAATGAATGTAGATGAAGAGAGTACGTAGAACTTTATTTTCTCTTTTGTATTCCTGATGTAAATACGAACCCACGAGATTGAAGTATTCGAAATGGATAAGTTGAAACTATACAATCCTATCCTTAGTATTTTGAACATGTTTTAGCATCCAAGGCAATACAACTCGTCATTTTCCAAGTTTCCCAAGCAAGGTGGACTTCTCATCCTACGTGATCAATGCAATGGTCTAATTAACAGCATACCAAAGTGGATCACAGAAACTCTAACAACGAAATCAAACCAACGAAATCAAATCAAATGCAATGCTTCAAAGTACAGTATACCAAATCAAATCGTTTATGTGTTCACTCAGAAAGTGCGGTCATGTCTGTAAATCTTACCAAGTTGATGAGTGACAGCAGCATACAAGGGTAATAGATCAGCATGACTTCTGATGCTCGCATGATATTGTGTTGATTGGATATCTTGTTGAGAAGTTGAGAACAACTGATTTGGATCACTTGCATGTAATCCTCTTGCATAAAGAGAAGAAAAATAAATCTGAATCATCATTTTTCACATCTGGTCTTCCAGAAGAAGCATATCTCCAAATCTTCATCAGAACGCGCGTAAATTAATAGAAATTAGAACTTAGCATTAAAGTGTCATTTGCAGAATATTGATCCCACCTTGCTTCATTTAATCCGACGAAACAAATCTTTCAAATGACGTTATCATTGTTTTTTCTGTCTTTTCCTTTTCTCGCTTGTTTGGCAAATAACGAGCGTGACTTCTCATCGCGATCATCGGAGCTACAGCGAAGGCCTGCGTTGCGAAACTGTAGGTTCAATCTGAGTCTATTGCGTCAACGACGTCTTCGACTATAGACCCGACGAGTCTGAAAGGTGTGAGGGGTATGCGGACAATTTCTTTTAAAACCCCAACAGTGTTGCCGAATAGACCCTTGTTCTTCTTTGCGCGTTCTTCCGCCTTTGCTCGTTCCGCCATTGCTCGTTCTATCGCCTTTGCACGTTCTTCCGCCTTCTGTAAAAAATGTTGCTCATTATGATTACCACGACATTCACTTGCTTCGGTCAATTTTTGGACCACATTTATTGAAGTATTTTGAAATATCGTGAAAATTAAAGGGTTATTATTCATGAGCACACGTTCTGGCATTGCAATGCTACACTCATATAAACAATGAAACCTTAGATAGCTACATATATATGGAAGAGTTGACAGACTCATGATAGAACTAGATTGTCGAGAAGCTTTTTTCGGATAATTGTGCTGTAGATTGGAAGTGTAGAGGCAAATGATTCTGAGTGATTGGCATTGTGGAGGTAAACAGCGGCGAGGCAACAGCATTATGGAGGTCAATGATGGCGAGGTGACAGCATTGTGGAGGCAAAGGACGAATATGTCGGAGCAGATAACGCAGGTAGACGGTGTGTTAGCAACAATAGAATGGGGGTCCTTACTGATACACCTAAAAGGCAATTGATAATTTCTGAATGTGCATTATTTTCATCTTTTTGGTCATAACAATGGGAGCAAATTATTTTTTCAGTGCGGCTGCGCCAATATATGCGACGGGAGAAGAAGGTGGTTCAGAGTTTGAATCCAATAATTATATCATCGTTGCTTTTAAAGGTTTAACCATCACTTTACTATAACCAAGGCAAAATATGAACGATCACGACAATGATGCAATGTGTTAGATTTTTGTGAGTAGTTTTTGTGATGATTGATGAGACTCAATTTTCACCAAAACAATAAGTAGCTTTAGCAAAACCAATCAGTGATCAACACAAATCGTTCATAAATCTAGGTAATTAAATAAATGCGTTTGAGACCGGCTGAAAGAACGTCGGCAAGCGTTGACGGTCAAATCTACACAATTATAGTGTAGTTAAACGACGTTGGTGGTTAGACCGGTTACGCGTAATTCTGAAGATATATAAGAACGATCATGAGTATCTAAAGATTGAGTTGCGTGGTCACATCCTCTTGTGTAAATTTTAGTAGTTCCCGATCATTTTTGTTCAATTTGATGAATATTTACCTTCTACTTTCTTAGAAATGTGAATCCAGAATAATCTTGCAGCTATGTGATCACTAAATATTCAAGCTTCGTTCACATAGAATAGAATAGAAAAGAGAGAGCGCATTTTCTCAAAATCGACGAAAACATGAAGTCACGGACAGACGGACGGACGGACATGACGAGTACAATAGGGCATTTTTTTCAATAAATGAGCAAATACGCTAAAAAGAAATGTTGTAAGCTGTTCTCGCAAAAATTAACAGTTTAAAAACTCGTAAAATGCTTATTCAGCAATGATTTGTCTGAATAGTTTCTCTTAAATTGAGGCTAAACATCCGCCAAACTTCCAAATGTGCAGTACAATCTGGACCTCCATNAACGGTACCAAATTTGAGGGTCTGAGATAGAGAGATAGGGGGAAAAGTTGGTAGGGAGCACCGCTACCTGGCAATTGGAGGCTAAGAAATCGGAGAGAAGCAACTCGTTCGCGATCTAGGAGTGTTGATGAATACTCAAGGTAAGTTTAGTGATCACATAGCGGCAATAACAGGAGGAGGCAGGCGGCGTGGGTCTGGCAAACTTTCCGAAGAGAAGCGGAACCGATGATCACACTCTTCAGAGCCCATTTGATACATATTCTTGAATACTGCTGCCAACTCTAGACCCTGTTTGCAGTCGGCGCAGTGCGGCAACTGGATGGGGTCCAGCGAACTTTCACTTCCAGGATAAGAGGGATATAGGAGTTGGAATACTGGGAGAGGTTGCAGCGACTAGGTCTGTACTCACTGCAGAGGAGGCGGGAGGTATGTCATTCTGAACACATGGAAAATGATAATGGGAATGACACTAATCTTCGGAACCGAGTCCTTCAGGATTGAAACATATCATAACGAGAGAAGGGGGAAACTGTGCAGGGCTCCTCCCATTACGTAACAGATCTGTATCTAGAATCCTTAAAGAGACAACTGGACGTGATCTTGGGCATAATCCCTGACCGACCACCCTGCACCACTACCAGCGGCGAGAAGCAAGCAACAGCATCGTGCATCAGGTGGCCCAAATGAGAGCGAATGCGCGATAGTCAGAGGCGGCGATTCATCGTGAATTGGGACTGCTACGTCCGAAACATGTATTAGGACATAGGATACGGGTATCACCGAACATGAACCTGCATGCTAATTTGACGCCATTGCAGCACATATCTGCCAGATAGAACAAATATTTCATAATTATTGTTAGAAATTATTGCCTCTGCGCTCCATGCCTGATATGGCAACGCAAGTATTTGATTGTGTGAGCACAATCATCATATCTGTCCACAATCAGGCCGCGAATATACACAACCCAAATGCTGAGAGTAATCGGTCAGCGATATTATGAGTACATGATTGCACTTTCGCTGGCTTTGACTCACCGTTTCAAGGCTTTCCTTAACTTCAGCTGCGATTGCAAATGAAGCGTCGTTTCTGGTGTATTGGATTTTGTTGTCGTAAGATGCAATAGCTTCGCTTTCTGACTCTGAATGATAGCTGTTTAGAAGAGAATCTCCGAGAGATTTTTGCTGAGAATTGATTTTTGAATCCATTTTACTTTTGTAAAGCTTATATGCCTTCTTGCTGGTCTCATTGATTTCGGCACGCTCCATTCCATGAAAAGGAAATGTTGTAAATAAATTGTTCTCGCAAAATTTAACAGTTGGAATCAAAACGGTTAAACAATTGAAATCTTTTTATCTAAATCAAATCTAATATGGTATATCAGAATAGGTTGTCGTAATTTGAGTCTAAACTTCCGCCAAACCTCCAAAAGTGCAATTCAATCTGGACCGCCATCCTACCTCGTCCATCGCCATGTTGTTGTTCTTCTGTACATAGGTCCCGAAGAGTTCTTCAATCCTCTGAAAAAAACGTTGCTCATGATTGAAACTTCATTCTTTTCCTTCGGTCAATTTTTTTGGACCACAGTTATGGAAATATTTTTAAATATCGTGAAAATTAAAGGGTTATAATTCGGGAGCACACGTTCTGGAATTGCAATGCTACTCTCATAAAAACAATGAAAACAATAGCTAAAAATATATGGAAGAGTTGATAGACTCCCAATCAAATTAGATTATCGTGAAGCTTTTTTCGGATAATTCTGCAGCGGATTGGCATTGTAGAGGTAAATGATGGCAAGGCAACGGCATTATGGAGGTCAATGATGGCGAGGAGACAGCATTAATTGTGGAGGTAAAGTATGGCAATGTCGGAGCAGACAACCCAAGTAGACGGTGTGTTAGCAACAAAAGGATGGGGGTTGTTACTGATACACCTAAACTGTAATTATAATTTCTGAATATGCATTTTTTCATATATTTGATAATAACAATAAAAGCATGGGTGCAAATTATTTTTTCAGTGCGACAGTGCCAATATATGAAAAGGGAGAAGGTGGTTCAGAGTTTGAAAACAATAATTATATCATCGTTGCTTTTCGAGATTTAACCATCACTTATCTATAGCCAAGGCAAAAATATGAGCAATCACGAGAGTGATGCAATGTGTAAGATTTCTGTGAGTAGTTTTTGATGATGACTGATGAGACTCAAGTTTCACCATATTTCTTGGACGGGCGGTTTAAGTCGTAATCGGGTTTAACATCTATGGAGATTATTTGGTTCAGTTATATAATCAGTTGCACGCATAAGCACCAATAAGTTATAAATACGACGGAATTCGATTTCTTAACATAAAAATGTTCAGCCTAACTCTCATCACTCCAGTGGATTTGTAGTGAATCTAGACATGGACCTTGCATGTAGGATTGCACGATGAAAACCGCGTGAAGCTTTCTTTCCGTCGAGTTCATCAAAACAATAAGTAGCTTTACCAAAACCAACTAGGAATGAACCATAAATCATTGATAAATCTAAGTAATTAACCAAATGCGTTTGAGAGTGGCTAAAATAACGTCAATAAGCATTGATGGTCAAAATTCACACAGTCATAGTGTAGTTAAACGACGTTGGTGGTTAGACCGGTTATGCGCGTTCTGGTAAGAACGATCAGGAGTATTCAAAGATTCAGTTGCGTGGTCACATCCTTTTAGGCCGATTTTAGTAGTTACCCTTCTTTTTTGCTCAATCGATGAATATATACATATCTTCTACTTATTTAGAAATATAAATTCAAAACAACCTTGCAGCACTGTAATCACTATATACGTATTCAAGCTTCGCTCATATAGAAAAAGAATAGAATAGGAATGTCGGTACTGAAGAAATAGGCCCAAGGCCTGTTGCTGATTCTTGTACATTTTGTGCTGCTGATTCTTTTACTTTACCTATTCCAATGAATCGATAATATTTATTGATAGAAATTATTGCCGCTGCGCACCATGCCTAGTACATTTGATTGAGTAAGCACAATCATCATAACCATCCACTATCTGGTCGCGAATATAAACAGCCCACATACTATAAGTGTTCGGTCAGCGATATTATGAGTACATGAATTCACTTCCGATGGCTTTGACTCACCTTTTCAAGGCTTCTCCTGACTTCAGCTGCAATTCCAAACGAAGCGTCGTTTCTGGCGTATTGGTTTATCTTGTCGTAAGCTGCAATAGCTTCGCTTTTTGACTCTGAGTGACAGCTGCTTAGAAGAGAATCTTCGAGAGATCTTCGCTGGGATTTGATTTTTGAATCCATTTTACTTTTGTAAAGCTCATATGCCTTCTTGCTGGTCTCATCGATTTCGACACGCTCCATCACATGAAAAGGGAATGTTGTAAGTAACTTGTTCTCGCAAATTTTAACAGGTGGAATCTCTCGTAAAATGTTCATCTAAATATGGTACATCTGAATAGTTAATCGTAAATTGAGGCTAAACATCAGCCAAGCCTCCAAATGTGCAGTACAATCTGGACCTCCATCCTACCTCGTCCTTCGCCATGTTGTTGTTCTTCTGCACATAGGTCCCGAAGAGTTCATCAATCGCCTGAAAAAAATGTTACTCATTATTATTGCAACTTTATTCACTTCCTTCTGACAATTTTTTGGTCCACAGTTTTTGAAATATTTTGAAATGTCGTGAAAATAATGGGATATTATTCATGAGCACACGTTCAGGCCTTGCAAAGCTAATCGCATAAAAACAATGAAACCTTAATTAGCTACAAATATATGGAAGAGTTGTTAGACGTAATAGAAATAAATGCTCATGGAGCTTTTCACGTTTAATTCTGCTCTAGATTGGCATTGTAGAGGTAAATGATGACGAGGAAACAGCATTAATTGTGGAGGTCAATGATGACTATGTCTGAGCAGATAACCTAAGTAGACGGAGTGTTAGCAACAAATGAATGGGGGAGGTTACTGGTACTCCTAAAATGCAAATAATAATTTCTCAATGTTTACTATTTTCATATTCATGGTATTAACAATAAAAGAATGAGAGCAAATAATTTTTTCAGTGAGGCTGTGACAATATATGAGCCTTAGAAAAAGGTGATTCTGAGTTTGAATCTAATAATTATATCAACGTTGCTTTTCGAGGTTTAACCAACTCTGAACTATAGCCAATGTAAAAATATGGACAATCCCGACAGTGAAGCAATGTGCAAGATTTTTGTGAGTAGTTTTCGGTGATGGTTGACGTGACTCGTGTTTCATCATATTTCTTCTGGACGGGCAGTTTAACTCGTCCTCGGGTCTAACATGCTTTTGAGATTATTTGGTTCAGTTATACGATCAGTCGCACGCATAAGCAGTAATGTTACATATACGATGAAATTAAATTTCTAAGCATATAAATGTTCAGCCTAACTACTCATCCCTCAACTGGAACTGTCGTGAATCTGGACTTGGATCTTACCTACAGGCTTGCTCGATGAAAACTGAAGGAAGCTATCCTTTCATCAAGTTCTTCGAATCAATTAGTGGCTTCATCAAAACCATTTAGCAATCAACCACAAATCATTGATATCAAATGCGTTCAAGTAATAAAGTAATAAATCAAATGTGTTTGAGAGTGGCTCAAATAACGTCTGTAAGCGTTCACGGTCAAAATTCACACAATTATAGTGTAGTTAAACGACGCTGGTGGTTAGACCGGTTACGCGTAATGCTGAAGATATTTAAGAATGATCATGAGTATTTAAACATTCAGTTGCGTGGGCACATCCTCGTAGGCAAATTTTGGTAGTTACCGCTCTTTTTGACTCAACTTAACGAATATTTATCTTCTACTTTTCTGGAAATGTGAATCCAGAACAACCTTGCAACTTTGTGATCACTATATATATTCAAGCTTCGCTCACATAGCGTTATGCTGCCCCGGGCGTATGGATGTGGCTTCTGCGTACTCTCTCATGTTCGTTTCACACATTGTAACATGTCACACATTGTAACATGTCATCATCATGCTTGGTCATTTAAGGGAGCGTCTGGCCACTTTTTTTCTCGGCTGTTTACAGATGGATCACTCTGAAACTTGGTACACCATTGTAAAACCGTAAAATAGACAGCTTTCATTCATGTTAATTTTTCGATAAAAAATGGAAGTAAACGTGAAATTCTTAGAAAACGACCAAAAAAGTGGGTACCGTAGAAATCTATCTCCTCCTAGGATTTCCAAGCTACAAAATTGAGACGCATATCATTCGATGCGTAAAAACCATATCTATCGATTTATGGTAGCGTTTTTCGAAATTCGAATTTTTGTGGATGGAGGAGCATTTTTTGCAAAATGTTCGAAATTTTTTCGATTTTCCCCTCCCTTTTTTCAAATATTTTCAGAAGTATAACGAAACTGGAAAAAAACTGCCACAAATCGATAGATATTTTAATTGCGAATCGAATGGTATATGTCTCATCGCTGTAGCTCAAAAACTCTAGGAGGAGATAGGTTTGCAGTAACAATAAGATAATTGTTCAGTAGAGCCCGACAAAGTCCCGAGCGCCTCGAAATAAGCGTTCAAGGTGGCAAGAATGCAAGACTAGGCGACACTGGAGCTCAATTCCTGCCAAGGACGGTGTGAACGATGACATGCAAACCCTCCCGTACAACTGCAGGCGGGTAACTGAAGCACATCGTATGTGGACTAGCTATTTAAGTATGCTACCGGGAAGAACGCATAAATCAACGTACAGAGATGATTTTGGTACCGTTGGATAGAGCGGAATGCCAGCTTCAAGATGAGACTAAAAACCGGAAAAGCCAAATTGAAAAATTTTGGTCAGACGCTCCCCTTAAAACTGGCAAATTCTTCCAACTACATTATCTCTAGTAAGTTGTAATTTTTTCCCAACAATGATCGAGAATCATAAAATTTCAATCACAGTTAATCCCCAATTTTTCATGAACGTCGGTGAGAAATAACCAATGAAAAAACTAGTTCTTATCGCAATTTTTAAATCCCTGAAACAAACTCAGAATAAAATCATTTACTTTCCTTTTACCTCTGAATGCATTTTGCCCTAGACGTTGAAACTAATGCTTAACTCTCATGATGTATGAGCTTCAGTAGGAAGTCCCCGCACTAACATTTAATGCAAAAATTCTAAAGAAGTCTTAAACTTGAAATGATCCGCATTCCATCTGTTACTTTCACTTTGGCCGTTGAATAGTTAAATTATAGTACGAATTAGACCTCTCGTCTTCTACTCGACATTGATGTTTGATCGTCGCGTTCATCGCCCAGCTGTCAAAGGACTTGAATCGCTCTTGGAATACAAATCCATGAAAATCATGGATTATCTCCTTGAATCTGATGGCAGCATGGATTATAAATCGCTCGACATGGATTACACACCATCGGACATAATGTATTACACATCTTTAAATCACTCGATATCATGGATTTGCAACCTGGTATATACAATTTATGCGCCGGCTGGTATCACCGATCACGCGCGCCTGCATGCTCATTTGACGCCATGCATTGCAGCACATATTTGCCACCTTTTCAAACAAATCTATAATATTTATTGATAGAAATTATTGCCCCTGCGCTCCATGCAATAAGACAATGCATGCATTTGATTGTGTAAGCACAATTATCATATCTGTCCAAAAATATTTGGCCGCGAATATACACCATCTAAATAATCAGAGTGTTCGGTCAGCGATATTATGAGCACTTGATTGCACTTTCACTGGCTTTGACTCACCGTTTCGAGGATTTCCCTAACTTCAGCTGCAACTGCAAACTAAGCGTTGTCACGAGCGTATTGGTTTGCCATGTTGTAAGCTGCAATAGCATCGCTTTTTTATTCTGAGTGACAACTTTTTAGAAGAGAGGCTTCGAGACATTTTCCATGGGATTCGATTTTTGAATCCATTGTTTTTTTGTAAAGCTCAAATGCCTTCTTGCAGGTCTCCTCGCATTTGACGCGTCCCTTTATCTGAAAAGGAAATGTGGTAAGTTGTTCTCGAATAATTTACAAGCAGGAAGCTCTCTTAAAAGGTTTATTTATATATAATATATCTTAATAGTTAATCGTAAATTGAGTACATATTATCGAATAAATGTGTCAGGTCTAAAATTCGTGGAAGAGAGTATTTGGACAATAATTTTGTCAAGCTCAACACGCTATAAAATCTGGACTTCCATCCAATCTCGCCCACCTTCATTTCCTCGTTCTTCTGCATATAAGTCCCATAGTGCTCTTCAATGTTCTGAAAAAAAATATTGCTCATTACGATTGCAGCTTCATTCACTTCTTTCAGTCAATTTTTAATCCACAGTTATTGAAGTATTTTGAAATCTAGTGTAAATTGAAGGGATATTATTCAAGAGCACACGTAATGGCATTGCAATGCTAATCTCATAAAAACAATGAAAAATTAGATAGCTACATATATATGGAAGAGTTAATTGACTCCTAATCGAACTAGATTGTCATGAAGCTTTTCACGTATAATTCTGCTGTAGATTTGCTCTGTAAACGTAAATGACTCTGAGTGATTGGCATTGTGGAGGTAAAGGATGACAATGGCGGACCAGATAACCCAAGTAGACGGTGTGTTAGCAATAAAAGTCGTTACTGATTCACATAAATTGCAAATAATTATTTATGAGGGTTGATTATATTTATATTTATGCTATTAACAACAAAAGCATGAGAGCAAATAATTTTTCTCAGTGCGGCTGTGCCAATATATGATGCGGGAGAATGTAATGGTTCAGAGTTGATGCACGACAGTGATGCAATGTGTACGATCTTTGTGGGTAATTTTTGATGATGAATGATGAGACTCAAGTCTCACCATATTTCTTCGGGACTGGCAGTTTAACTCGTCCTCGGGTTTAACTTGCTAGGGAGATTATTTGGTTTAGTTATACGGTCAATTACACGTAAAAGCAGTAATAAGTTATAAAATAGACATAAATACGATGGAATTCGATTTCTTGACGCAAAAATGTTCAGCCCTACAACTCATCACTCAATTGAAACTGTCGTTAATCTGGAAGTGGACCTTGCATGCAGGCTTGCACGATGAAAAAACAGTAAGTTTTCCTTTCGTCGAGTTCTTCAAAACAACAAGTAGCTTCATCAAAGTCAATCAGCGTTCAACCACAAATCGCTGATAAATCCAAGAAATTAACTAAATGCGTTTGAGACTTGCTAAAATAACGTCAATAAGCATTGACGGTCAAAACTCACACAATTATAGTGTAGTTAAACGACGTTGGTAGTTAGACCGGTTATGCGTGATGATGAAGATATTTAAGAACGATTTATTTAAAGATACAGTTGCGTGGGCACATCCTCGTAGGCAAATTTTAGTTGTTACCGCCCTTTTTTGCTCAACTTGATAAATATTCATCTTATACTTTTTTATAAATGTAAATCCAAAACAACTTTGCAGCTATGTGATCACTATATACAATCAAGCTTCGCTCACATAGCGTTATGCTGCCGCGGGTGTATGGATGTGATATCTTTGTACTCTCTCATGTTCGTTTCACACATTGTAACATGTACTAGATCATGCTTGGTCATTTGAAACTGACAAATTCTTTCATCTACATTATCTCTAGTAAGTTGTCATTTTTTCCAACAATGATTGAGAATCATAAAATTCAAATCACAGTTAATCCCCAATTTTTCATGAACGTCGGTGAAAAATTACCAATGAAAAAACCAGTTCATTTCGCAATGTTTAAATCCGTGAAACAAACTCAGAATTAAATCATTTACTTTCCCTTTACCTCAGAACGCATTTTGCCTTAGACGTTGAAACTAATGCATATCTCTTATGATGGCACGAGCTTTAGTAGGTAGTCCCCGCACTAACATTTTATGTAAAATTCTAAATAATTATTAAACTTGAAATGATCTGCATTCCCTCTACTACTTTCTCTTTGGCCGTTCACTATTTAAATTATTGTAAGAATTGGACCTTTCGTCTTCTACTCACTCGACATTGATGTCTGATCGTCGCGTTCATGGTCCAGCTCTCACAGAACTTGAATCGCTCATGGATTACAAATCCTTGAATCGTCTGACATCGTAGATTATAAGTCTTCCGACACCATGGATTCTAAATCGCCTGACATCATGGATTACACATCTTTGATTCACTCGATATCATGAATTTGTAACCTGGTATATACAATTTATGCGTCGGCTGGTATCAGCGATCCCAGCGCCTATATGCTCATTTGACGCCATTGCAGCACATATCTGCCACCTATTCAAACAAATCTATAATACTTATTGATAGAAATTATTGCCTCTGCGCTCCATGCCTAATAAGGCAAAGCATGCATGTAATTGTGTAAGCACAATGATCATATCTGTCCACAATCTGGCCGCGAATATACACAGCCCACATGCTAAAAGTGCTTGTTCAGCGATATAATGAGTACATGATTGCACTTTCGCTGGCTTTGACTCACCGTTTCAAGGATTTCCCTAACTTCAGCTGCAGTTGCAAACAAAGCGTTGTTCTTGGCGTATTGGTTTTCCATGTTGTAAGCTGTAATAGCTTCGCTTTTTGTCCCTGAGTGATAGCTTCTTAAGAGAGTATCTTCAAGACATCTTTCATGGGATTCGATTTTTGAATCCATTGCTTTTTTGTAAAGCTCAAATGCCTTATTGCTGGTCGCCTCGCATTTGACGAGTCCCTTTATCTGAAAAGGAAATGTTGTAAGTAAGTTGTTCGCGAAAAATTTACAAGTTGATAGCTCTCGTCAAATGTTTATTTAACAATGGTATATCTTAAAAGTTAATCATAAATTAAGTACATATATCGAAAAAAAGTGTTGAGTCTCAAATTCGTAAATGGACGAAATTTTTGACAATAATTTCATCAAGCTCAACACGCCGTATATACAATCAAATTCCATCCAATCTCGCCCACCTTCATTTCGTCGTTCTTCTGAACATAGATCCCGTAGTGCTCTTCAATGTTCTGAAAGAAATATTGCTCATTACGATTGCAACTTCATTTACTTCCTTCAGTCAATTTTTATTCCAGAGTTAATGAAGTGTTTTGAAATCTGGTGTAAATTAAAGACATATTATTTTTGAGCACACGTTCTGGCATTGCAATGCTAATCTCGTAAAAACAATGAAACGTTAGATAGCTAATAATATATGGAAGAAATTATAGACTCCTTATCGAACTAGATTGTCATGAAGCTTTTCACGAATAATTTAGCTGTAGATTGGCACTGTGGAGGTAAATGATTCTGAGTGATTGGCACTGTGGAGGTAAAGGATGACAATGTCGGAGCAGATAACGCAAGTAGACGGTGTGTTAGCAACAAAAGAATGGAGATCGTTACTTATGCACCTAAAATGCAAATAATAGTTTCTGAATGTGCATTATCTTCATGATTCCGCGAATAACAAAATAAGAATGAGAGCAAATGATTTTTTCAGTGCGGCTGTGCCAATATATGAGGCAGGAGGAGAAGGTGATTCAAAGTTTGAAACCAATAAATATAGCAACGTTTCTTTTCGAGGTTTAACCTTTACTCAACTATAGCCAAGGCATAAATATGGACAATCACGAGAGTGATGCAATGTGTAAGATTTTTGTAAATAATTTTTAATGTTGATTGAAGAGACTCAAATTTCATCATATTTTTTCTGGACGGGCAGTTTAACTCGTCTTCGGGTGTAACATGCTATGGAGATTATTTGGTAATTATAAAATCAGTTGCACTTATAAGTAGTAATAAGTTATAAAAACAGCGACAAATACGATGGAATGCGATTTATTAACGTAAAAATGTTCAGCCCTACTACTCATCGCTCAATTGAAACTAGTGAATCTGGACGTGAATCTTGCATGCAGGCTTGTACGATGAAATCTACGAGAAGCTTCCTTCTCATCGAGTCCTTCAAAACAATAAGTAGCTTTACCAAAAAAAATTAGTGATCAACCACAAGTCGTTGATAAATCTAAGCACCACACATTGCAGCATGTTACGCTGCTGCTGGCTTTGACTCACCGTTTCAAGGATTTCCCCAACTTCAGCTGCAATTACAAACAAAGCGTTTTCACAGGCGTATTGGTTTGCCATGTTGTAAGCTGTAATAGCTTCGCTTTTTGACTCTGAGTGACAGCTGTTTAGAAGAGAATCTTCAAGACATCTTTCGTGGGATTCGATTTTTGAATCCATTGTTTTTTCGTAAAGCTCAAATGCCTTCTTGCTGGTCTCCTCGCATTTGACGCGTCCCTTTATCTGAAAAGGAAATGTTGTAAGTAAGTGGTTCTCGAAAAATTTACAAGTTGATGGCTCTCGTAAAATGTTTATTCGAATATGGTATATCTTAAAAGTTAATCACAAATTGAGTAAATATATCGAATAAAAGTGTTGAGTCTCAAATTCGTAGATGACCGAGAATTTGAACAATAATTTCATCAAGCTCAACACGCCGTACTATCAAATTCCATCCAATCACGCCCACCTTCATTTCGTCGTTCTTCTGAACATAGATCCCGTAGTGCTCTTCAATGTTCTGAAAAAAATATTACTTATTACGATTGCAACTTCATTTGCTCCCTTCAGTCAATTTTTACTCCACAGTTAATGAAGTATTTTGAAATCTCGTGTAAATTAAAGGGATATTATTCATGAGCGCACGTACTGGCATTGCAATGCTAATCTCATAAAAAGAATGAAACCTTACTGTAGATAGCTAGAATATATGGAAGAGTTAATAGACTCCTAACCGAACTAGATTGTCATTAAGCTTCCCACGTATAATTTAACTGTAGATTGGCATTGTAGAGGTATATGATTCTGAGTGATTGGCATTGTGGAGGTCAATGAAGGCGAGGAGACAGCATTGTTGAGGTAAAGGATGACAATGTCGGAGCAGATAACCCAAGCAGACGGTGTGTTAGCAACAAAAGAATGGGGATCGTTGCTGATGCACCTAAAATGCAAATTATAATTTCTATTGGGTCATTATTTTCACTTTTTGCAATTAACAATAAAAGCATGTGAGCAAATAATTTTTTCAGTGTGGTTATGACAATATATGAGGGGGAGAAGAAAGTAGTTCAGAGTTTGAAGTAATAGTAAAAGGATTTATATAGTGCTTCGGCTATCAAGCTATTTCACACCGAAGGTCATAAAATAACGTCGCCAGCACGGCGAAAGGTCTCAACTATTCAAAATCTCAAATTAAGCATCACGTTCACCCACTAGGGGGGAAGGTCTCAATTGTCCAGCCCGCTGAAGCTGGCTCGAAAGAAGCAGCGTTAGCATCCCAAAGAGACGAAGTGACAAAAAGGGATAAGTTAAAGGCAACAGAAACGAAGACACTCGAACAAGAGGTCGCTTACACGGGACGTCGGCCGCCCGCACGAGAGAGACAAAGAAGGGAAATGTAAGGAATCCTACCTACATAATAACTCAACCCCACAACTGAGACCTGAAGTCAGACACCGCGAGCTCAGCAGTGGGGCGCTCAGGAACAATCCCCTAGGAGCGCTAAATCCCATATATAGGTCTTCTGACAAGAACAGACACGCGTCAGAAGTCCTCCCTGAGGGGGTTCAGAATTTGAATCCAATAATTATATCAACGTTGCTTTTCGAGGATTAACAATCACAAAGCAATTTCGTTGGCTTTGACTCACCTTTTCAAGAATTTCCCTAACTTCAGCTGCAATTGCAAACGAAGCGTTGTTTCTGACGTATTGATTTTCCTTGTCGTAAGCTGCAATAGCTTCGCTTTTTGCCTCTGAGTGATAGCTTTTTAGAAGAGAATCTTCAAGACATCCCTCATGGTATTCGATTTTAGAATCCATGGCACTTTTGTAAAGCTCAAATGCCATCTTGCGGGTCTCATCGCTTGTGAAGCGCCCCATCATCTGACATGTAAGTAAGTTAATTTCGCATAATTTATCAGTTGAAATCTCTCGTAAAAAGCTCATTTAAATATAATATCTTAATATTTATACATAAATTGAGTACATATATCGAATTAAAGTCTTAGTACATATATCCCAAAGTCTTAGAAGACAGAGCATTTGGAAAATAATTTTATCAAGCTCATCACCTCAACGAGGGTGGTCGGCAGATCGTCTTTATTCTCTCTGAAGGCCGCCATGTAGGTCCTGAAGAGGCGCACCAGCTCTTCCCCGGTGGCGGGTTGTCCTCGACGCCCCGCTGAACGCTTCTCCACGAGACGCTCAGGCGCCAGCAGGCGAGGCACCAGCAGCTTCAGGTGCTCCACGAATTGCTCGGCCAATTCTGTTCAGAAAATTATTCGATTGAAGATAATACGGACGATTCAGATCATTCAACTCAGAATCAAATCCTTAAGCGGTGGAGAGTTACAATTATTGATTTATTATTGATTATTCTATAAAGAAAATTTACGTAACGGTGATCTGAGGTCTCAACATAAATTAGTTACTTTTTAGTGTTGCTAAATATACCAAAAATTAAGTGCTGGAACAATTTTTCAGCGTAATATATATATTTTTCATTCAAGATACACGTAAAAATCTGAATATATCTGGGTTGCATAAGTAAAGTTAATAAAAATCTTCACATCAGTTCGAATACCATCCCATGTAATTTTGTGCATAGCTTATTGTTCACAAATTTACTACTAACAACATAATTTTTTTGTCCCAGCGAGCTCACGATTTTGTCGGCCATCAAAGTCTTCATCCGTGATGGCGCGCATCCCAATGTGCGGCATGAGGTAGCACTCCAGTTCCTCGAAACTCTGGCGGAGGCCTTCTCTAAGTCGTTGGTGCGCCGGGTCCTGATTGTTTACCTGATAATTGGGTTTTGATTAGAAAGGGCATTGATGACAATCACTAATCTGTAACTTGGTGCAGCATTAGTTGAAATATCGTATGTAATTAAAATTAAGCTTTAGCTAAAATGAGGAACATTTTCTTTCAACAACTCGCCTCAAAATTTGATATGTTGCCTCCAATCGTTCTGCTAAAATTCTCATCAGAATAGAGGCTTTAAACTCGGGCTCCGTAAATCGGCACTTCACCAGTACAGAATAAATGATTAAAGACCCTCCCAATCAAGCTGCACCTGAAATTCTCTCAATTCGAAATGAATCAGCTGAAACAAAAAATTGCTTTAAATTTTTAATTGCCCTCAACAATCTACTACCATTCCATGCCGTCGGAATAAAGTACAACATCTGAATTCATCATTCTGACCAGTATGATCACAAGCCAAGCTTTTGATGGCCACAAGTCGCGGTTGAGCTTGTCCAGTCGCGGTTAAGCTGCATGCATCCCAAGGCAGACGTGCGTGTTGCGCGGGCTCAAAACTGGCCTTTGCACTATGCCGGTTTAGCTCTATTTGTGCATTTCGTGCTGAAGTCTTTCAGTAAAAAGACTTTAGTGAAGTCAGTGAAAGAGAATGCAAATAAGGAGTGGTAGTGAATAAAAAATGTTTCCTTTTTTTCCTATGAAGAAACGAGGGTAAACTTGTGAGAGGGCACAGTGCTGTGCGTTTGGCTTTCGGTTGGGCCTAAATTTCTTGAGCAGGCTTTGCCACGTTCTGCCCCGCTGTCTAACTTTACCCTATCCCACCCCCTCTCTACCCGCTTGTCGCATCGAGCCCTTGATTCCCTCAGCCCACCCCTGTCTTTCCTTCGCCAGCTAAAGCTGTTACCTCAGCTGCTCCACCAGTGTCGAAATTTTTGCGGGAAATTTACTATAATTAAATTCAACTCAGTTTTGATGTTTGTCTCCGTCCTTTTCTCCGTTCAAGAGCTCTACTCCGTGCATTTAATGATGGCTAGGAGGAAAATAAAAAAGGTAGTCGAAAAGCCCTCTACGGCCTCTAGAAAAAAAACTGAAACCAAATCAGACCAGCTATAGATGAAAGTTTACAAGCATTGCAAAAAGATCTCTCTGAGCGAAGTTCAGACGGTCATCTGTAAACGTTGCAAAGATCTCATTTGTATCAGCTGTTCGAAGATGAGCTCTAAGGAATTTTAATTTCTCCAGAAAATTAAATTACTTCATTGCTTTTGCCATGACTCTAAAAAACCGACTCTTACATGCTCGAAAAAAACGAGGTGCCTTTTTGAGCTCGCTATGCAAATGAGCTGACAGGAGTAAAGGCACAGCTGAAAAATAAGGAAAAAATTGAAGTAAAGTACAGGCGAGCTTATATATTTGAAGACGCTAGCGAAAGCTCCCGTGAATTACTTAAAAGCGAACGTAGGAAGTGCAACCTTGTTTGATTTGGTATTCCCGAAAGTGCCGCATCTGATACGAATGACCGAGTGATGGCTGACACTGCATTTGTTGCAGCAAGGCACGCAGCACACCGGTTGATGTAACATCGTACAAGAGGTATACGCTCGAAGGATGCTGCTGCCAAGACCTGCAGACCCCTGATGGTGGCTTATTGATTCTGCTTAGGTTAGGAGCGTGCTAAAGGCAGCGAAAAAGCTTGGAGAATCCACTGAGTACAAGTCCGTTTTTGTAATGAAAGATTCCCCTCTTTTCGAGAGGGCGGAATTTCGCAAGAAATTGCCGGATAGAATCAGGTGCAGAGGCACGTAAAATCAGGTCAATCACTTCTAAGCTGTCAAGACAACACCTGCTGCTCATGGTCAGTCACAGGAGCTGTAGGACATGAAATAAATTAATAGTAATGATGTCCGTAGATCTAAGCCTGTAAATAATGTAGGAAGAAACCGCATACATCAAAGTGAAAGTGCACAAAGAGTTCCAAAATGTTTTTATACGAACTCGGATTCCGTTTTGAACGAAATAAGTGAACTGTTAACTGCGATCGCAAACGAGTGTATAGACATTATTAAGTTCTATGCAGAAAAGACGTTTTGGAAGCGCGAACGTTTGAACTTTGCGAAAGGCGACTATGATAAACTCCGTGAAGCAGTGAATGCGGCGAATATTTCTGACTGTATTAAGGACACGAATGCGGCTGATTCATGGTCATATTTCAAAGACACGGTTATATCTGCAGTTGATGTACCTATGTACCTATATATAAGATTACGCTTGGAGGAGTCAAAAAGTCCCAGCGCATGAACTGATCAGTTATGGCTCAGCTAATGATCAAAAAGGAAGCCTACAAAGCGTTATTTGCGAACTCGCAGCGATGCTGATTATAATTTGTATGCAACAGCTCGAAATCAAGCTTAAAATGTGACGCACTGCAGTGAAAAACTTCGAAAAAAATATTTCCACATATGCAAAAAATCCAGAAGCCTTCTATTTGTACGCTAGTTCAAAGTGTAAGACAAACGACCGTATTTCTGGTTTGAAAGTAGACCAACGGAAGATACCCTCTGATAAGGGCAAGGCTAACGTTCTTAATCAGTTCTTTAGCTGTGTGTTCACAGATGAGGACTTAAACAGTATTTCAGGTATTGAGGAGCGCCCAGTCGGCTAGGAGTTAACAGGTTTTGAAATACACGAAGCAGAGGTTCTCAAGCGCCTGATCGCTCTAAATCACAACAAGTTATGTGGACCAGGCAGCTTCCATCCTAGATTGCTCGAAGAATTAGCAACAGTCCTGGTTGCTAATTGACAGTATTCTTTCACAAAAAAATTGAATGAATTGATTTTGCAAAAAAATGGCAAAGTAGCCCCGCCCGGGTAACTATCGCCCTGTCAGCCTGACAGAGCTGTTTGTAAGATAATGGAATGTGTTGTGAGAGATGGGATTATTGATCACTTGACTATTCACCATTACCTATCAGACTGTCAACATGGCTCTTGTACCCGTAGATCCTGCAACACTAGCCTCTTGTCTACGTTGAATGATTGGACTTGCCCGCTGAACGAAAAGGAGCCAGTGGATGCAGTGTACTTCGATTTTGCCAAAGAATTTGACAGTGTTCGACATGAGCGGCTGTTGCGTTAAGCGAAGTCTTTGGGAATAGAGATAAACGTACTCCAATGGATCAGAGACTTCCTAGTAGGTATACGACA